GACAGATGTATGAAGAAAAATAGTATACACCACACCTGCGCATTTATTTTGTAAAATAGTATATGACACTACAGGGCCAAAAATTCAACTTTCGGCCTTGTAGTGTAATATACTATTTTACAAAATAAATGTATTTTTTATTTATTTAAATTCTAAATTAAATTGCCAACGACTTTCTCTTATAAAATGTTTGTATAAAGGTACTTCTCTCTGAGCATTTTTATATTTTATTAATTTCTGGACACCCTGTAGAAAGAATCGGTTTTTTTGAATCTCAGTCTCATTTTTTAAACAAGCAGGACTTTTTATGAAAAATGTCTTTTTTCCGTAAAACGCATAATAAAAAAGTTTTTCCTATAGGTAACTCCATCCGTGGACACACTGTATTTCTTCAGATATTTTCTCAAACCTGTTGTTAGAAAATAGACACAGGAGTCTATTTTCTAGCAACAGGTTTTCTAAAATCTGTCAAATCATTTTCAATTTATTCTTACTCTCTAATATAACTATTAAGAACACATACATTTTATTAAAAAATCGTTACGAGAAACAACTACATACTTTTACAAAATATTCAATTTTTAAGAAAATTTGATTGGGAAATAAAATTTACTCAATTTACAAAAACTTTATGACGCCATAAAAAAAAATCGAGGTTACAAATCCAGTGAAGAAAGTCAAAAAAAAAACAATTAAATCCCGTTTTTGTTTTTTGTTGATTAACTTAAAAAATGTGAAATTTTTTAATTTAAACCTGGAGTGGTGGCGCCTCCACAGACTCAATTTTGAAAAATATGAATTTCAATAATATATATAATTATATACAGTGTGGAACTCACTTATGGAATAAAATTCGTTATTATTATTATTATTCGTTGAGAAAAGATTTTTATGAAAAACGCTCGGAAACGTCAACTTTAGCTTTTTATTCCAAATCTTATAATGATAATTTTAAATTTTATGCCCCCACCATTTTTCTCCCCCTGCACATTAGGCACCCTTATCTTAAAAAACAACCCCACTTTTTTTCATCGAAAATTGATAGTGCACATTTTTTTGAGTATGACGATACGTGAATGACAAATTAAAAAACTAAACTTTTTATTTTAAAATTAATTAAAAATTCAAGAATAAACTGTTCTTCAATCTTATAAATGTTCAAAATGTCCCCCGTCCACTTCCTGACACTTTAGTAATCTACTGTGAAATTGTTCCTGCACTCTGTTTAAAACCTCCGGTGTTATGTTCCTAATTTCTCCAGTAATTCTGTTTCTTAATTCATCTAAATTAGCAGGTTGTGTTTTAAACACCCTGTTTTTTAGATATCCCCATAGAAAAAAGTCTAGTGGTGTTAGATCCGGTGATCTTGCTGGCCATTCTATAAAACCTCTTCTTCCGATCCACCTGTGTGGAAAGGTGTCATTTAAATAATTCCATACAGGAAGAGCATAGTGGAGTGAGGCACCGTCTTGTTGAAGCCATATCCTTTCATTGGGAAGATTAGGTTCCAATGGATTTGGAAACAACTCTGCTAAAGTTTGGACAACTTTTTCTAAGCATATCCAGATATCTTGCCCCGTTAAGATTTTCAATGAAAATAGGTCCCACCACATGATCACCAACAATACCAGCCCAAACGTTGATTTTCTGAGGACGTTGGGTATGACTTTGTCGTATCCAGTGGGGATTTTCTTCTGCCCAGTAACTGCAATTTTGTCTATTTACCTCGCCATTTAATAGAAATGTTGATTCATCAGAAAAAAGAATATCTGCAGAAGAAATAACATTCCTTTTTAACATATGCAGCATTTGCTCGCAAAATTGTAATCTTCTATTAGAATCACCATCAATTAATTCTTGTACGTGTTGTAGTTTATATGGATGCATTTTTTCGGCTTTTACACATCTTAAAACTGTCGAATGACTAACGTCGTTTTCACGTGCAACCTGACGCGTAGAAGTTGTTGGATCTTCTTGAAAAGCTAATAAAATATTAACTTTCACATTTTCATCAATAAAATGAGGCGTCCTGCCTAATGGTTTAACGAGATTCGCGAAATTGTGCATGTATTTTAGACATAGTTGCCTGAGAAAGTGGTGGTAAATCTGGGTATTTTCCATTAAAAAGGTTTGCAACTTGCTGTTGTGATCTGCACATATCACTGTAACCAATCATCATTAATATTTCTATTCGCAGAGTTTCTGTCAAGTGTCGCATTTTTTAACTAAAATATTAACTGATACTTGAATCTAACAAAATACTTCAATAAGTAAAGCGCAAAATGTTTCATTAATAATAAAAATTTAAACAATGCAAAAAATGTAAACAATGCAAAAAGGACAAACGCAAAAAATTGCATTAACAAAAAACAATATTGTTTTTTGTTAATGCAATTTTTTGCGTTTGTCCTTTTTGCATTGTTTACATTTTTTGCATTGTTATTTAACAAAGCGAAAAAACATGAATATCTAAATAGCGAAAGCCACAACAAAAGAAACTAAATCATAGAATAACAATAAAAAATTCATACTTAATTTTTAAATATTCACCCTGTATTGAAAATTATGGTTACTAAACCCTACTTATGTGGTATCGTCGTACTCAAAAAAATGTGCACTATCAATTTTCGATGAAAAAAAGTGGGGTTGTTATTTAAGATAAGGGTGCCTAATGTGCGGGGGGAGAAATGGTGGGGGCATAAAATTTAAAATTATCATTATAAGATTTGGAATAAAAAACCAAAGTTCACGTGTCCGAGCGTTTTTCATAAAAATCTTTTCTCAACGAATAACGAAGTTTATTCCATAAGTGAGTTCCACACTGTATAATATACAGTGTGGAACTCACTTATACAGTGTATATACAGTGCTTGCAAATCCAAGTCCGACCGCACTGGAAAGGACGGCTGTTCAATACCCGCGTGAAAAGAACAAGGATAGAATTTGATTGACCGTTTCAAAGATATCAGCGATCAAAAATAACACTAATAAAAAATTTCAAATATTTTCAAATAAAATACAAGAAAATATCATATGCCATATTTATATTATTTTTTATGTAAAATCACTTTAATTTTGTCAACCTGAGACGGTAAACTTTTTTTTTATTTATATAAGTACATGTATATTATACATATATATACATATACATATAATTATATATATTATATATATATTATAATATGTCATATATACATAAAAAAAAAGTTTACAGTCTCAGGTTAATGTTTTTTGTAGAGCGTGAAATTGTCTATAACTCCTCTCGCTTGGGTGTTGCGAAAACAAACCATTCCAAAGTTATAAGAATTCAAAATTTTAGAAAATTAAAATTCCCGTGTTATTGAAATGAAAAAACAACAAATGAATTGAGGCAAACCTTAATATTAATATTAAGGGCTCAAATATGAGCCAAAATTTTTGTTTTTTAATGTATTATTAATTTTTCAACACCATTAGAAAAAAAAATTATTTAAGTTTTTTTTGAAATACCCTAATATATATATTAGGGTGTTTCAAAATAAGGCAATATTTTTATTTTTTTAAATTCATCTGAAATTCTTGCCATTTATGCTGAAAAAAAATTCTGTCAAAATTTGAGCTCTTAATATTAATTTTAAAAGGTCCATCATCGAATTTAAAGTTTTTCCATTGATTTAACATGGAAAAATAGTTTTTTAAGATTTATTTCGCCTGCATGCTATGTAGAACTTTTTTTTTTGATAAACAATCACTGGTCCTTTTTTATCATTAAATTATCTACAAAAAATCTTACAGAGTCCAGTCTGTAATATTAATTTTAAAAGGTCCATCACTGAATTTAAAATTTTGCCATTGATTTAACATGAAAAAATAGGTTTTTAAGATTTATTTCGCCTGCATACTATGTAGAACTTTTTTTTTTGATAAACAATTACTGGTCCTTTTTTAGCATTAAATTATCTACAAAAAATCCAGTTTGTAGATTCAACTCTTTCTTTTTTATTAACGTTGAAACGTATAAATTCTAAAAACAAAGATATTTTTACATTTAGTGGTAAAAGTACTAATAGTAGAAGAAAAAGTTAATTAGCAATTTTAAAGATATTTTAATGCTCTACAAATTTGTTTTAAACAATTTTTGAAAAATTTTCCCTAAACTTTTTTTCCTACAGTGAATATTATAATAATATATTATGCATAATCATGAAAATGGTATTTAGACACTTATAACTTTTGAACTGTAGGTGAAAAAATTGATCAAAACGAATTTGTAGAACATTAAACGATCTTCAAAATTGCTAATTGACTTTTTTCTACGATTTAATAAAAAAGAAACAGTTGAATCTACAAACTGGATTCTGTAAGATTTTTTGTAGATAATTTAATGCTAAAAAAGGACCAGTGATTGTTTATCAAAAAAAAAAGTTGTACCTACAATGTGATCCATTATAAATGTCCACCCCCCCTAACTTTTTTCTTTTAGATTTCGGAAAAAAAAGTTTTATATAAAAGTTGTAGGGTTCAACTAAAAGTTTTTTTTTTGTGTTATGTTTACGTATACAGGGGGATCAAAAAAAAACCATATAAAAACAGATTTTTTTCCTATGGAATGACCTATATTTTATATAATTATGTGATAGCTCTTTAAACGCTGATTTCAAAAATATATATGACATTAGGGTTATTTTTAATACTTAAAACAGAAAATGCCAAAAACTAAAATTTCACTTAGCAAGCCATGGGCCGCCATTAATCGTTCCATTGTTTATTTAGTTATTACTATGATAGTTCTGGCGTCTTAATTAAGCAATTTTGATAAGTGTGTAATTATGGTGTTTTCCGAAAATGAAAAATTTGAAATTATTAATCTATATATTAAAAATAACAAAAATGCAGTTGCGGCAAGACGCGAATATATAGAAATCCACGGGGATGGTGACAATATTAATATACCATCTAGAAAGGCGTTTAAACGTATTTATTTATCACTTCGGAGGAATAAATACTTAAAAAGAAGAAAAATGCAAATCATTCCAAACCTGGATGAAGAATTAGACGTCTGTTTATATTATATTGGTAACATATATTTTGAATTTTTTAACTTTGTCCGTTCGTCATAATACGGCCACCACTAAAATATAGAAGAGTCTTTTATTTATTAGTAATAAATTATTGCGTTATAAATACTTGAGTATTTCAAAAATCGCTGCTCATTGAGACGACCATTGTTTTTTGTTGTCTCTGGCAACGAATCAGGGTGTCTCCAAAAAAGTTTATTGAGGACCAAGACGGAGTTTTTAAAATACCGAATAATATTTTCCAGATTTTACGGCCTTGCTGGATTTTTTTCTAGTAATAATTATAGTACATTTTTCAGAGAACCCTTTAAATTCCATACGTGATGGAGTTCGCGATTTGCATAAAAGTTTTGCAAAAATCTGGAGAATTTAAAAAAAAAAACAAGTGGAATCCTTTTAAAATGATGAAAGTGCAGCACCTCACGGAGGAAAATAAGGCACAAAGACTAATATTTTGTAGGCTTATGTTAGAAAGACTAGAAATCGACCCTCTATTTTTTCATAAAATTTTCTTTTACAACAGCAGGCGTACCAAACAGGAAAAGTTTACACTATTGGTCTACAGAAAATCCAGAAAAATATCTCGGACTATCTCAACAATAAATATAGAGAATGGATTGGAAGACCCGGAACAACGATATGGCCAGCTAATAGTCCAGACCTTACGGTTCTAGATACTTTTTTATGGGGTCATTTAAAAAATAAAATTTATTTTACTAGGCAAGAAAACATTAACATAATAAAAGAAGGAATTAGGACTGAAATAAATAATATAAATACCAATCATTCTAACTGGATTAATCAAGCTATAGAAAAACTAAAAAAGGGCTATCGACTATGTGTAGAAATGAACGGTGGCCACTTTCAACATTTGGCCGAATAAAATAAATAAATAAATAATGCAGTTAACCACGCCCAAGTATGAATATCTGTTTAGTTGATGGTTCCACGCCTAAGTAGGTTTTATAATTTTGAATTGAAATTTTATGAAATTTTTAGGATTTTCGTACCAAACTTTTTATAAATGATGATTTTTAATTGTTTATCGGTACAATTTCATGTAATTACATTTATTCTACAGTCGGGTGATTAGAGAAAAATAAATAACTAAAACAATCAAGCATAATTATTAATGTAAATTTTCTACAAGTACATTTTGTCAAAGAATCCAGTCACTTTTGAAATTTCATCAAAAATATGAGAATTTTTCACTAAAATAAGATTTAGTGACCCGTACCATCCTACAGGTGCAGATTACAGCTATGGCACATAAAGCATTTTTGTAGAACTTTTGATTACGAGTAAATCCCTTTTTGAAACAATCCAATAGCATAAAATGCGGCTGAGATATAGATATAAAAAAAATAATAATCAAAGTTTAGGTGTATTTTTAATTAGGAAATCTTTATACGCTGTTAATATTAAGGGCTCAAATTTTCAGGGATTTTTTTTTTGAACATTTTTAACAAGATTTTCAGATGGGAGAGAAAAAATAAAAATAGTCGTGAAATAAAGCATAATATTAATATTAAGAGGTCTATCATCGCAATTTTAATATTTTTTTCCTCAGCAAGTTTTTGTCTCAGAACTCCCAAACCATTGAGTTTAACAAAATTGACTCGAAAATATTTTTTTAAGAAAATTAAATTCTCTACAAAAAAGGTTAAAGTGAAATTTTCCGTCAGATGAACCATTTCCTTAAAATCATGCCTTAAAAATTGGTAGTTTTTGATCTTTTAAATTGGAATTTTGTAATTCATGTAAAAATCAGTACCTACCCATAAAAAACCGATAAATATTCTTATGGGAAATCAAATGCTTTACAAAAAAAACCTCTTAACATTTTTGGCTAAATTCACTCAATCAAAAGTTATTCAAGGTTAAAATTTCGTTTTGACTTCAAATTTAACCTTGAATAACTTTTGATGGAGTGAATTTAGCCAAAAATGATAGAAGACTTTTTTTGTAGAGCATTTGATTTCCCATAAAAATATTTATCGGTTTTTTCCGGGTACTGATTTTTACATGAATTACAAAATTACAAAGTTAAAATATCAAATTGTAAAACTATATACATTTTTAAGGCATGATTGTAAGAAAACGGTTCATCTGACGGAAATTACAGTTAATTTTTTTTGTAGAGCATTCAATTTTCTTCAAAAAATATTTTTAAGTCAAATTTGTTAAACTCAATGGTTTGGGAGTTCTGAGACAAAAACTCGGTCAGGAAAAAAAAATCTAAAATTGCCATGATAGACCTCTCAATATTAATATTATGAACTCAAACTTTCAGCATAATTTTTTTTGTCACCCCAAACAATATTTTCGATATAGGTACTTTACAAAACAAAAAATAGTCGATTTTTTTGGCCCAGTCTAATATATATATATAGGAATATATATATATATACATATATATATATATATATATCCTACATTACCAAGCCCGAAACGTTACATTCTACAGTATAAACGAAGCCCACTCGGTTTTTACGAAGCCCGGAATCGGGCTTCATAAAATTAGCGTGTATAAATTTGTTTTAGAGTTAAGTGATGCCCCCTTGTTTCAATGGCGAAAAACTGGTGGGCTTCCTAATGCCATTCAAACCTATCAAAATATGCACCCTTAGTTCCAATGCTTTGGCGGTAGGGGGCACACGAGTCAAAGGAGATTATATACAGCTTTGTATAAGTATTACGCAGTATACGAAGCCCGTACATCTGGCAACAATGGGGACTATACGCTCGATGACTTTTTGATAGGAAGGCGGGGAAAATAATGCGGGATTCTTAAATTTGTATCTACTGATTTTCAAAATAAATGTTATATTCTCAAAATTATGTTTTGTTCACTACATGGCGTGGATTAAAAGGCAATGTTTTGTTAAATACTTTCGTAATACACTTAATTTTAAAGAATTATTTATTTTTGAAATATTATTTGGAGTGCATTTTTCTTTGGGGCGGTTTTACAAGTTGTCCAGATATTTTTCATAATTTTAATTGGGGAAACAAGGGGATTTGTATATATTATTATTATTATTATTCAATGTTACATTTAAATAATTTAAATAAAAATAATTTTTAATTTATTAAAAAAATTTCCAATAGCGGTATGAAATAAATTAAAAATTATTTTTATTAAATATCATTTTATTGTAACATTGAATTGTAAAAACTGCTTTTTGACAGATAGCTTCTCATGGCAATTTGTCAATTAACATTCACAACTGATCAATTTATTTATACATGGCAAACAACGACCAAACGACCAAACAACAATAAGAAATTGGGTTCTTTATTTGGATAGTGCTTATCTAAAAGGAACCAAAAACTTGTTCGGAGCTTAACAAACTTATTTGTATATACCTAACTCATTTTTAATGCTGATCAAAAACTTAATTATGATTTGAAAGTCCTCTCAATAATTTAAAAGAAGTTCTAAATAATGATAAACTTTTTGAGCATTATTAAAAATGAGTTATTTTACAAAAAATTTTGTCCAAAAATAGTTTTTGGCGCTTGGTTCCTTTTAGATGAGGATTGTTCATTTATACCTACCATTACAATATTATTTTATCAACCGTTTTGGTTAAAGTAATATTTTATCTACGATTTTTATTGGATAAAAGGCAGCTTTAACTTTATAATGTAGCTATAAAACAATATTTGGTTGGTAATACATTTTTCTTGTTTATAGGATGCTAAACTAAATAGCAATTTTCCCCACTTCTTTTTTTTATTTTTCAACTTTTAATTTGGTTTAGTTTTCCTAAATTTTCCCAACATTTATTAAAATGGATATAGCCGGTTTTCCACGGATGCTCCTCAACTATGGTCTAGGTCTTTTAAATCAAATTTGCCTATAATTATAAGTTTAGACAATATTTTTAAATAATGACTTATAATCCCTTCAATAATATAATAGTTTTTTTTAAAATAATTATAAATCACACTATTTTTAAATACACTGCCCTACAAAATTATTGCATAATAAATTAAAAAAATTAACTCTAAAACGCCTTTACTAATCTTTATGAAATTTTGGATAAAAATACTTCAACTTATATCTCAATTTACGTGTTCAAGGGTTTTTCGAGAAAATATGTTTAAAGCCTTTTTATTTAATAATTAAAATAAGTTCGAAAAATCACTTCTAGGGAATTTTTTAAATAAATAAAAAATATGCTGTTAAATAGCGTATTTTTTTAGTATACCCTGAAAATTTTGTACAAAGCGAACAGTAACGAAGATACAGCGCTTCAAAGTCGTGAAAAATGACCATTTTTCAGCAAAATAATCAAAAAGGCGTCATTTTTACCGACTTTGAAGCGCTGTATCTTCGTTAATGTTCGTTTGATTTGTACAAAATTCAGGGTGTACTAAAAAAATACGCTCTTTAACAGCATATTTTTTATTTATTTAAAAAAATTCCCTAAAAGTTATATTTCGAACTTTTTCTCATTATTAAATAAAAAGGCTGTAAACATATTTTCTCGAAAAACCCTCTAACACGTAAATTGAGATATAAGTTGAAGTATTTTTACCCAAAATTTCATAAAGATTGGTAAAGGCGTTTTAGAGTTAATTTTTTTATATTTATTATGCGATAATTTTGTCGGGCAGTGTATTAAAGTATACGCCCATTTAAATCTAACAATTAAAAAAAAACTAGATGTCTTTATAATTCATGAAAAAAATATTCAGTCAGTTTCACTTCTTTTGATTCCCATTTAAGTTTTACACAAAATTACCTAACCTCAACAATAATTCTTATAATAATTATAATTATTGATATACTTATTTGTATATTTTTTATTAACATATGGAAATATATTTTTTAAAGGCTTTACTTTTAAACAAAAACGAATCGCATCCATGTCATTTAAGAAAAAATGTTTATAATTAACCCAGCTATCATCTGACAAAGTTTGCCATAGAGCTTGTAGAGCACCCTGTATAAGATATTTAAACCTTTTCAAAATTATGATGTATAAACAAAATAAATGAAATGTTTATAATTATAGGTACCTAAATTCAACAATGCTTTTAAATTATTATAATATAAATAATTATAATTTAACGATAATTATTATTATAATGATTATAATTCAACAATATTATTAAATATTTAAGTATACCCACGTCATTATTTAAAAATATTGGTTAAGTTTAGTCAAATTTGCCTATAATTATAAATTTAGACATTGGCAACACCGCAGGGCTTCTGATAAACAGCGGAGTGTGTCTCGTGTTGTTTATGCACCAACGAACAGTTAACTAGCACCGGGCTTCGCATTGATTGCCGTGCATGTATATATTTATATATATATATATATATATATATACATGCACGGCTATCAATGCGAAGCCCGGTAATGCGGGACGGGGCGGTTAACTGTTCGTTGGTGCATAAACAACAAGAGACACACTCCGCTGTGTATCAGAAGCCCTGCGGTGTTGCCAATGTCTAAATTTATAATTATAGGCAAATTTGATTTAAAATACCTAGACTATACTTATACTTTACCTATATTTTTAAATAATGACGTGGTTATACTTAAACATTTAATAATATTGTTGAATTATAATCATTATAATAAAAATTATTTAAAAATATTGTCTAAATTTATAATTATAGGCAAATTTGATTTAAAAGACCTAGACCATAGTTGAGGAGCATCCGTGGAAAACTGGCTTTATCCATTTTAATAAATGTTGGGAAAATTTAGGAAAACTAAACCAAATTAAAAGTTGAAAAATAAAAAAAAGAAGTGGGGAAAATTGCTATTTAGTTTAGCATCCTATAAACAAGAAAAATGTATTACCAACCAAATATTGTTTTATAGCTACATTATAAAGTTAAAGCTGCCTTTTATCCAATAAGAATCGTAGATAAAATATTACTTTAACCAAAACGGTTGATAAAATAATATTGTAATGGTAAGTATAAATAAACAATCCTTATCTAAAAGAAACCAAGCGCCAAAAACTATTTTTGGACTTAACAAAATTTTTTGTAAAATAACTCATTTTTAATAATGCTCAAAAAGTTTATCATTATTTAGAACTTCTTTTAAATTATTGAGAGGACTTTCAAATTATAATTAAGTTTTTGAGCAGCATTAAAAATGAGTTAGGTATATACAAATAAGTTTGTTAAGCTCCGAACAAGTTTTTAGTTCCTTTTAGATAAGCACTATCGAAATAAAGAACCCAATTTCTTATTGTTGTTTGGTCGTTTGGTCGTTGTTTGCCATGTATAAATAAATTGACCAGTTGTGAATGTTAATTGACAAATTGCCATGAGAAGCTATCTGTCAAAAAGCAGTTTTTGCAATTCAATGTTACATTAAAATGATATTTAATAAAAATAATTTTTAATTTATTTCATACCGCCATTGGAAATTTTTTTAATAAATTAAAAATTATTTTTATTAAAATTGGAAATGTTTCAAATAAATTAAAAAAAAAATTATTTAAATTATTTAAATGTAACATTAAATAATAATAATAATAATATATACAAATCCCCTTTTTCCCCAATTAAAACTATGTAAAATATCTGGACAACTTGTAAAACCGCCCCAAAGAAAAATGCACTCCAAATAATATTTCAAAAATAAATAATTCCTTAAAATTAAGTGTATTACGAAAGTATTTAACAAAACATTGCCTTTTAATCGACGCCATGTAGTGAACAAAACATAATTTTGGGAATATAACATTTATTTTGAAAATCAGTAGATACAAATTTAAGAATCCCGCATTATTTTCCCTGCCTTCCTATCAAATAGTCATCGAGCGTATAGTCCCCATTGTTGCCAGATGTACGGGCTTCGTATACTGCGTAATACTTATACAAAGCTGTATATAATCTCCTTTGACTCGTGTGCCCCCAACCGCCAAAGCATTGGAACTAAGGGTGTATATTTTGATAGGTTTGAATGGCATTAGGAAGCCCACCACTTTTTCGCTATTGAAACAAGGGGGCATCACTTAACTCTAAAACAAATTTATACACGCTAATTTTAGGAAGCCCGGTTTCGTGTTACAAAATACCGCGCGCCTAACGTTGGCTAACAGAGGGTTCAGATGCAAGTCGGCATGGGTTCCCGTTTATAGAATGAGCTGAAATTTTTACTGGGAGTATATAAACACGTAATAAATATAATTAGAGGGTATGCGTAAAAAAAATAAAAATAAGGGACACCCTAATCTACATACATAATATCTACATTAGACTGGGCCCAAAAAATCAACTTTTTTTTTGAAAAGTATATCGAAAATATGGTTTGGGGTGACAAAAAAAAATTATTGTAAAATTTTGAGTCCATAATATTAATATTAAGAGGTCTATCATCGCAATTTTATTTTTTTTTCCTCAGCAAGTTTTTGTCTCAGAACTCCCAAACCATTGAGTTTAACAAAATTGACTCGAAAATATTTTTTAAGAAAATTAAATGCTCTACAAAAAAGGTTAAAGTGAAATTTTCCGTCAGATGAACTGTTTTTCTTAAAATCATGCCTTAAAAATTGGTATAGTTTTACATTTTGATCTTTTAAATTGGAATTTTGTAATTCATGTAAAAATCAGTACCCATAATAAACTGATAAATATTCTTATGGGAAATCAAATGCCTTACAAAAAAAGCCTCTCAACATTTTTGGCTAAATTCACTCAATCAAAAGTTATTCAAGATTAAAATTTCGTTTTGACTTCAAATTTAACCTTGAATAACTTTTGATGGAGTGAATTTAGCCAAAAATGATAAAAGACTTTTTTTGTAGAGCATAAGACTATTTATCGTTTTTTTTTTCCGGGTACTGATTTTTACATGAATTACAAAATTCCAAAGTTAAAAGGTCAAATTGTAAAACTATACCAATTTTTAAGGCATGATTGTAAGAAAACGGTTTATCTGGCGGGAAATTCCAATTTTCAATTTTCTTCAAAAAATATTCTTAAGTTAATTTTGTTAAACTCAATGGTTCTGAGACAAAAACTCGCTTAGGAAAAAAAAATCTAAAATTGCGATGATAGACCTCTTTATATTAATATTATGGACTCAAACTTTCACCATAATTTTTTTTGTCACCCCAAACAATATTTTCGATATACTTTACAAAACAAAAAAAAAGTCGATTTTGTTGGCCCAGTCTAATCTACATATATTATATGTATTTCCTAGACTGTGTCAAATAAAACGACTTTTGTTTTTTTTTTCGGTCCCATATGAAAATTATTTTGTTGGTCACAAAAAAAATAATTGAGTCAAAATTTCAGCCTTATATCTTCATTTTTTAATTAGCGCTCGCCAAAATAAGAATTTTGAAAGGACATTTTTTCCCCGGTATTTTTTGTTTTATAAACAATTAAATATAACAAATAAACAAAAAACCTTTGTTTTGTAGGGGATTAAATTCTCTACGAAGATAACATTTCATGAAATTTAAAAAAAAATGCTGGAGGCTAATAAGTTATTTTTTTTCTAAAATTAATTATTTATATTTTTTAAATAAATTTTATGACCTAGAAGAATGGTTTTTATAGTTTTTATTCATCTCAATATTGTATTTTAAAAGACAAAAATAATTATACAAAAAAAAAATCAAGTAGGTAAAATAATATTTTCCTAAAATTTATTTTAATATCTAGCGTTAATTAGTCAGAGCAGATTCTACACACAAAAATAAAATAAAATCCTTTGTCGAGAAATGCCTTCCAAGTGAGCTACAGCCCTATAAATGGGTGCCCCTGAAGATTTTTATTATTTAATTTCTTTAAAACCTTTTAAGATAATATATAATATATAAGTGAAATTTTGAATATTAACTAATTTTTTTACTGCCAATACGATTTAATAATGAAAATTATTTTTTTATCAGGGATGGGTCAGAAAAAAAGGGGGTAAGCCCACTCTGACCCCACCCTCTTTTTATCATTGTGGAAATTTTGAAATTGTCATTAAATCTTATTGATCATAAAATGTTTAATAATTTTCAATTTTTTCTTTGTAAAAAGTTGTTAAATAAATTTTTAAAAATATAAATTAACATTTTTTTAGAAAAAAAAAACTTTTATTAGCTCCAGAAAAAAACTAAATTGGTTTTTTAAATTTAATGAAATGCTATCTTTGTTGAGAATTTAATCTCCTACAAAACCATATAAAGGTTTTTGTTTTGTTTATTATATTTTATTGTTTATAAAACAAAAAGTAACGGGAAAAAATTTTCTCCTTTAAAAATTCGTATTTTGGCGAGCGCTAACTGAAAAATGAAGATAGAAGTCTGAAATTTTGACTCAATAGTAGTTTACGTACCAAGTGCGAAAAAGTCACTTTACGCGCGTGTTAAGTACACTATTTTTTCTATAAGCGTGCAGAAAAGTCCACTTTTTCGCACATTTTAAGAAAATGCGTGCGGAAAAGTGGACTTTTCTGCACGCTTATAGAAAAAATAATTTTCATATGGGACCGAAAAAAACAAAACTTGTTTTATTTGACACAGTCTAAAGGTGATTACTGTAAAGGACATTCTTATATGGATATAGCTATATCAAACTCTAGAGTTCGTTTAATGTTCTAATTTTAGATTCAGATTCGTCTGAGCAGGACAATGCGTCAGATTCTACATATATTTCCGACACAAACAGTGGTAAGAATAATAATTATTAAAATGAAACTAAAATTTATGAAATTTGTACGAAAATTATTGTTATATAAATTATTTTAGGACAAGACATTGATGACTTAGACTTCTCAATATCATTTAAAACTTATGACAAAAACGAAACCAGTCTTTCCTTTATTTCACCAGCCAATACTATCAATACCCAAAATAAAGGTAAATATTTCTTATTTAATTTTTCAAATCTCCTATTTTAAATTCTTAATTTTTATTGCAGTGTGGGATTTGGATGAATATGGGAATGATAATAATACGTATAATAATGGTAGGTATTTCGTATTTTTGTGTTCATATATCGTATTCGACGTGGTATTTTTTATTGCAGAGGAAGATTTGGATGGATTAGGAATCTCCAAATCATATGACGTTTATGACCTAAATGATAACAGCAATAATTTTTCGCAAGTCAATGATAATAGTCATAATAAAGGTATTTAGTTTTACAATAAATGTTTTTTATACAATAACTATTATAATAGTTATTTATTTTAGTTGATGAGAAAATGCCAATAATTATTGAGGAACCAGATAAGCAAACCATTAAAAAAAAAAATAAAAGGCGCAAACATTACTGTATTTTCTGTGATGTACCAGTACATAATTTTGCCAGACATTTACAAAGACAACATTTAAATGAAATACAGGTCCAAGAGTTTTTATCTTTAGATAAAAATGACCCAAAGAGAAGCCAACTTATAAATAAAATAAGAAAAGAAGGGGATTTTTGCGCTGGCGAGCTAATTCCTGTACAGAGTAGACAAAAAAATAAGGGTTTAAAAATAACTCAAAATTCTTGTAAATTACTACCCTGTATTCATTGCAAAGGTTGGTATCCATAATAGTAATAATAATGATAATGATTGTCAGGTTGGCACAACTGAATCCAATGTATATAAGGCCGCGCACTGGAAATAAAACCAGTTACCACTTTACACTTGTTATATACCAACCTCACATGGCGCTGTGAACACGATTAATAACCGACAATTTTTGCATTTTCGAGGTTAGAACTCGCACAAAAAATTTCTCCATCTTGGGTTTTCAACAATTTTCGAAGAAAAATGGATCTTAGAGGTATTCAACCGATGAAAATGGAAGGCAATTGCTCTGAAAATTGGACCTTTTGGAAACAAAAGTTTATAAATTACCTCCAGGCGACAGAAATATGCAAGAAAGACGAATCAACTCAGTGTGCTCAACTACTCGCATTAATAGGAGATGAAGGCATGCGAATTTTTAATACATTTAACTTTTCGCAAGAAGAAAAGGGTAAAATAAAGCCTTTAATTGTTAAATTTGAAGAACATTTTGTGCCAAAAAAGAATCTCACTTATCAAAGACACCTTTTCTTGTCTCATAGACAATCCTTTGAAACAACGGAACAATTTATAACTGATTTAAAGAATCTCGCATTGTCTTGTGAGTTGGGAACATTGAAGGATGAGTTAACCAGGGATATAATTATTTGTGGAGTAAAAGATGACATCTTGAGAGAAAAATTGCTACAAAATGAATTTAATCTAGAAGAGACAATAAAATTCTGTATAAGTGTAGAAAAATCGAAGTCTAGGAGTAAGGAAATTACTAATGGAAGAAATCACGACTTAAATGTAGATAAGATCAAGGTTGGTGAAAAGTATTCAAGAAAAGAAGGTAATCTACCCCAGTTGAAGTATAATGCACAGAGAGGCCAGTCGAAAGCTTGTGGAAGATGTAGGAAGCAGCATCCCTATGGAAAGTGTCCAGCATATGGAAAAAAATGTGGAAAATGTGGACTAAACAATCATTTTGCTGTTTGTTGTAAAGTGGGTAACGATAATTTTAAAGTTTCAAATTTGTCTAAGTCTAATAATTTTATGTCCATATCTAAAGATTTTAACTGTCAGTCTAACTTTAAAAGGTGTAATAATTTTAATAAAAGAGATCACGCATTTGTTAAAAAAGGTTTTAAAAAGAAAAAATTTATAAATGTAGTTAAAAATGAAACTAATGATGATTTTTTGTTTATTGGTAGCATAGAAACTGAGTCAGAGCAGAGACATGGTGCAGGGCGAGTTGACACTGTCGATGAGGTGTCATGGGTAACTTTGATTCAACTAGAGAATCAACTGATTAAGTTCAAGTTGGACACTGGAGCAGATGCCAATGTTATTCCTGTAAGTGTTCTTAAACTGATTAATTTTGATTTAAATAAATTAAATAAAACAGAAACTAGGTTAACCTCGTATACAAAAAATGAATTGCCAGTCTTAGGTACATGTATCTTAAAATGTACATATAAAAATATTGAAAATCATCTTTTATTTCATGTGGTCTCCATTGAAAGCAGTCCTATTTTGGGACTTAAAAGCTGTTTAGATTTGAATTTAATTCAAAGAGTACATGCTCTGGATAATCAAGTCAATAGTAAAGAAAACTTGGATAAATTACTAAATAAATATAATTTTTTATTTTCTGGTATAGGCGAACTAAAAGAGCCATATCACATAGAGTTAAAAAAAGATGTAGAGCCTGTTGTAAACTTTTGTAGAAAAATACCTTTTTATGTGCAAGAAAAACTTAAGGAAGCACTGGATAATTTATTAAAAAATAAAATTATTGAAAGGGTTAAGGAAGGTTCAGAGTGGATAAATAATATAGTAATTGTAAAAAAACCTAACGGGTCTATAAGAATAGCTTTAGATCCTAAAGATTTAAATAAAGCTATCAAAAGGCATTACTTTAGAATTCCCACTCTTGAGGAATTAACTATAGATTTATCAGGTGCTAAATATTTCAGTACCCCAGATGCTACTCAAGGATTCTTACAAATAAAGCTTGATAAAGAAAGCTCCAAACTTTGCACTTTTGTTACGCCCTTTGGAAGATTTAAATTTTGTAGACTTCCCTATGGTATATCCAGTGCTCCAGAGGTTTTTCAAGAACGAATGCATAATATATTCTCTGATATCGAAGGTGTTAAAATTTATATTGATGACATAATTGTTTCTGGAAAAACAGTATCAGAACACAATGCACGTTTAGAACGCGTATTTAAAAAAGCTGCTGAATGTAATATAAGATTAAACTTTAGTAAGTGTCAATTTTTAAAAAATGAAGTACTGTATATGGGACATTCCATATCAAATAAGGGACTAGCTCCTGATAGTTCAAAAATTACGGCTATTAAAAATATGCTCGTACCAGAATATAAAAAAGATTTACAACGATTTCTTGGTTTAATTACCTATGTAGGAAAATTTGTGGAAAATTTGTCAGACAGAACTGCAAAATTGAGAGGTTTATTAATAAAAAATGTTGAGTTTATTTGGGATGAAGAATGTAATAAAGTTTTTAATGATTTGAAAGAATTAATTTGTAAGGCTCCATATTTAAAATTTTTTGACTTAAACGAAAAAACAACCATCACTGTAGATGCTTCAAAAGACGGGATTGGTGCAGCATTGATGCAGAAAAATAGGCCCTGTGCCTATGCATCTGCAAGTTTAACTCCTGCACAAAAACGTTACTCGCAAATAGAAAAGGAACTCTTAGCAATTTGGTTTGGAATAACAAAATTTCATCAATATATTTTTTCCACTAGTTTCATAGTAGAAACAGATCACCATCCTTTAGTGCACATAATAGATAATATAATAGAATGTCCACCTAGATTGCAGAGAATTCTTCTTCAACTTCGTAAATATGATTTTAAATTAATTTTTAAACCGGGAAAAGAGTTAATAATTTCTGATTTTCTTAGTAGAGCCTATGAAGCTAAAACCTTTCAAGAAAAGTTTGATATGGAACTTAATGCCCAGATTTGTCTGATAAATATGAATATAAATTGTACTAATAAAAAATTTGAATAAATAAAAAATTTAAATAAAAATGACGTAGAATTAAAAACCTTAAAAAGATTAGTAGAAAATGGTTGGCCAAGTGAAATAAAGGATGTACCGGATATAGCAAAATTTTATTATAAATTTAGGTCAGAAATTTTTGTAGCCGATGAAATAGTATATAAAAATCAAAAAATGATAGTTCCTAGTTTATTAAGAAAAGAAATATTAAAAAAACTTCATTTTGGCCACTTAGGTATTAGAAAGACAATAGAAAAAGCTAGCAATTCGTTTTATTGGCCTGGTATGAAAAAACACATACAGGATATGATATTGGCCTGTGAGATATGTCAAAGATTTCAAAAAACCAATCAAAAAGAGCCCATGATACCTCACGAAATTGTCAGGTTGCCATGGTACAAAGTTTCAGCAGATATTTTTCATTTGTATGGAAAATCTTACTTAATCGTTCATGACTATTACTCTAAATATGTAGAAATAGAAGAATTAAATGGAGATCTTTCGAGTGAGAATGTTATAAAAAACTTAAAGGCAATATTTTCTAGGCAAGGTATTCCAAAAATCTTTTGTTCAGACGGGGGCCCGGAATTTTCCAGTCACCTGTTTAGAAGGTTTGCCTCTGAGTGGGAGTTTGACCATACAAAGTCATCTCCAAGATATCCTCAATCTAATGGTCAAATTGAACGGTCGGTACAAACTATTAAAAATATTTAAAAAAAATGTTATCATGGCAATTCTGATATATATTTAGCTATGCTAAATTATAGAAACACCCCCCTAAATGGAGAATACTCTCCAGCAAAAATATTAATGAGCCGAAATTTAAGAGACCTTCTTCCCAATCACCATTCTTTTTATAAAAGCAAAATATGTAATAAAAATAAATATGACGACTTTTTAAATAAATCTAAAATAAACCAAAAATATTACTATGACAAAAAAGGTGTAAAACCCCTTGAACCCCTTAAAAATAATACCTTAATCTATTTTCAAAGAGAACTAGGTGGTGATTGGGAAAAGGCTATTATATTGTATAAAGTAGGATTAAGGTCATATAAGATTAGGGCTGAAAATGGATCAATTTTAGTAGGAAACTCATATAAATAAAAATAAAAAATCTGATTCATTTTCAAGCCCTAAATTTAACTTTTTAGAGAAAAAATATATAAAAGTTTGTAGTGATAACTTATCACAGGAAAATGACAGATCTTCTAAGGAAGGTGATGGTAGCTCGACAAAAAATGTGAATATTTTGCCTGATCAACATTTCTTAGAAAATGAGGAATTTTTGCAGAGTGCCCCATCTACCACTAGCTTGGGTTATTCTGGAAAAAATTCAGTAACAAAAAAAGAAGTTCAATTTAAGAGTGATACCTTAATTTCAGAAAAATGTCTGAAAAATAACACGGATTACAAAACTAGAAGTGGAAGAGTAAGTAAAAATCCGCAAAAATTTAATGATTACATAAATCATTTAGATTAATTAATTTATTTAACATTTTTTACACGAGTTGCCATCACTCAAATCACTCATTTTCATAAAAAGAGAAATACAAATTATTTAAAAAAAAAAAAAAAATTATTTATATTATATGTATGTGAATACACTATAGGGTATTATTGTTATGTATTTAAAAAAGAAAATAGTACAAAATATATTAATTTACAAAAATTATAATTATTGTATAGGTGTTTTTACATAAATATATTATTATGCCTTGTTCTGTGATATTAGTTTAAGGAATGTTAATGTGATAGATGTAAGTTTTAAATTGTTAAATGTTTTTTGTTAAAAGGGGAGATGTCAGGTTGGCACAACTGAATCCAATGTATATAAGGCCGCGCACTGGAAATAAAACCAGTTACCACTTTACACTTGTAGTTTTATATACCAACCTCACAATGATAATAATGATAATAATGATAATGATAATAATAATGATAATAATAATAAAATTAACAATATCAGAACAGTACGGTCATTTCAGGGGATGTAGATATGCTTGTCCACAACTTAAACTTTTAAAATTATCTCTATTTTTATAAAATATTTGTTACATTTTTGTAATTTAATTTATGGCCTAATATATTACGCTCTAAATTAAATTTAAAAAATGCAAAAATTATTCTATAAAAGTAAAGAAAATTTTAAAAGTTTCGGTTGTGGACGGGACAAGCATATCTACATCCCTGAAATGGCCGATTAACATTAACAACACTAACACTAACAATAATAATAAAATTACATTTAAATACATTATACTATTTACTATTGTAGGCTATTATGCAAGAAAAACATTGCGAAGACATGCAAAGCGTTGTTTTTTTAACAAATTAGAGAAAACTATCAAAACACGTCATCATCAATCAGAAGGTCATACACTGATGTCTACTCATTTTGGAGTAAACGATCCATTACGGACATCAGGAATTTTGAAAACATTAAAAGCTGATGAAATATCATTAGTGGCTAAAAAAGATAAAACTATTTGTGAGGTAGCACGAAAATATATTAAAAGTCACAAAGAAAAGCATCTTATTTCAGTTGCAAGACGCAACATGAGACGTTTAGCTCGTCTCGTAATCGAAGCAAGAAAAATAGAAAACAATAATTCACTTACTTTAGTATCTTTACTGCACCCATCAAAATTCAAGGTAATTGTTCAAGCCACAAAAATCATATCATGCTATGACAATAAAAATTGTGTTTTTAAATCACCATCGCTGGCTATGCAAATGGGTACCTTATTAAAGGCAGCATTGGACACAGCTTATTCGGTGAAACTTCAAGTTAACATAGACTCAACAAAATTAAGAATTTTTGATGTAATGAAAAAGTTAATAGAGAGAGAATGGGCCACCGAAATTTCCACGGAAGCTAATCACAATCTTAATTTAAATCTATTCAACAAGCCGACGTTAATGCCAGTGGCAGAGGACCTATCAGTAAGTTTTCTAATAATTGATTTGTTTTACTGATTTTATTTATTTATCTGAGGATTTTGTTATTTTGTTTTCAATAAAAATAGATTATAAAAATTGCTTTGCCTTTTGCTAAGGAATTATAGTTTCTGTAAAAACATCACAGTTTTACAAAAGAAAACTTGAACTAGAAAAGATAATCAAAATAATAAACCTTTAATGTAAGACGATTAAAAAATGGAAAGTTTAATCTACTAGTACTATAATTATTATCAATTATTATTTTAATGCCATATATATAAATAATCGTCTTTCACAAAAGTGTTCTCTTCATTAACTTCACCAGTCATTCACCTCAGCACATCAGCCTGTGTCCAATACTTTTTCGTTAGAATAGCTTTTAAACTGTCTAACCCAAACTTGATTAATAATAATATTTGTTTCAGAAAATGAAAAAGTATTTCGACAATTTGATTTCTACCTCAATAGAAAAATTACAAGCAGATAATAAAAATGAATCAGCTTACAAAATTTTGAATGAAGTAACTTATTGTAGCCTATTGATGTTTAATAGAAGGAGAGTAGGCGAATTGCAACGTATTCCGCTAAATATATATATTTCTAATAAAAATAATAAGCCATCTGGAGAATTTGAGAGGTTATTGTCTCCAAGTGAAATAATACTAATAAAAAGGTTAAAGCGAATCGTTATCAAGGGAAAAAGGGGTAGAGGAGTACCAGTACTATTTGATACATTAACGCAGAAAGGAATTGATATCGCTATAAATCACAGACATAATTTTTTTTCGGAACCCAATCTGTACTTGTTTGGGTTATGTCAAACAGATACTTGTATTAGCGGATATCATGTATTCAGAAAACATGTGTCAATTGGTTTAGGCGACACCAGTAAAGTTGTTTCTCTAACATCAACAAAACTTAGAAAACACTTGGCCACTATTTCTCAAATTTTAAAAATGGGTCAGCAAGATTTAGAACAATTAGCCACCTTTATGGGGCATACAACTAAAACGCACAATGAGTGGTATAGATTACCTTCTGATGTGTATCAGACAGCTAAAGTGGCTAAGCTATAACTTCTTTCACAAAATAATTCCATAGAACAGTATAAAGGATGTAATTTAAATGATCTAAATGTAGGAGAGGACTTTGTACAAAATGAAAGTGGCAGTGAAGAAGGTGAGTATGACTACGATGACTACGAAAATAAAGAAAACGATATGCCTCTTATAAACACAAAAAAAGTCAATGAACAAGAAAAAAAGAAAATAATTAAAAAACCTTGGAGTAAAGAAGAAAAAACAATTACAGAATTATTCTTCAAAAAACATATAAAAACAAAGTACCACCGAAAAAAGAAGAAGTATTAAATTTAATAAAAGAAAACCCTAAATTACTTGGCCACAGAACATGGTCAGTGATTAAAGCATATGTGTGCAATAAATATAAATAAGGAATCACATTATTTTAAAAATGTTATGTTTTTTTGTTCATTTCTCTTTTTTTCAACATTTAAAAAAAATATAATTATTATAATATCCGTTAGAATGTAAGTCAATAGGTTAAAAAATTTTAAATAAAAATTAACATTTTAAAACTTTTTTATTTATTTAATACTGTAACATTTAAATCTTAATAATTAATTATCTTTAAAAAAATAAATATAATATAAGGATTTTTAAATTAGTTTTAATAATAAATCAAACAGTTTTTGTGCATTGTGTTTATTTAGTTCCCATAATTAAATAAGTGTTGTTTTTTTGGCTTGACGCGTCGCGCTAAGGTCATTCACTCTTTAAATTTTCTTTAAATTTATTGATTTTAACCTAAAAAGTAAAATTATAATTAAAACTTAGCTTAAAAAAATCATTAATAGACAGTAGATGCTATTTACTATCTTTACTTATCTGAACATTGCTGCTTCAATAAAATCCATATCATAGGGATCAATTTCGGACACCATTTATCTTATGTGAATGAGCGTTGCCGTTGCGAAACGGCTTTAACTGAGCTTGGAACTAAGCTATAATTTACTTGAATTACTGTTAGTGTGGCAATCGAAAAAAAGCGTGTTTATTTTTTGCAGACGCTCAGATAACCTGCAGAGGTATAGGCTCCAGGTTAACCGTTTAAATGATATTCCCTCATAAACGCTCGTGTTTATAGTCGAACGCTGAGTAAGAATGCTTGTTGACCGGACGCCCACTTATACGACGTAGGTAAATATATATATATATATATATATATATATATATTGGACACATATATTGGACACAGGCTGATGTGCTGGTGAAGTTAATGAAGAGAACACTTTTGTGAAAGACGATTATTTATATATATGGCATTAAAATAATAATTGATAATAATTATAGTACTAGTAGATTAAACTTTCCATTTTTTAATCGTCTTACATTAAAGGTTTATTATTTTGATTATCTTTTCTAGTTCAAGTTTTCTTTTGTAAAACTGTGATGTTTTTACAGAAACTATAATTCCTTAGCAAAAGGCAAAGCAATTTTTATAATCTATTTTTATTGAAAACAAAATAACAAAATCCTCAGATAAATAAATAAAATCAGTAAAACAAATCAATTATTAGAAAACTTACTGATAGGTCCTCTGCCACTGGCATTAACGTCGGCTTGTTGAATCGATTTAAATTAAGATTGTGATTAGCTTCCGTGGAAATTTCGGTGGCCCATTCTCTCTCTATTAACTTTTTCATTACATCAAAAATTCTTAATTTTGTTGAGTCTATGTTAACTTGAAGTTCCACCGAATAAGCTGTGTCCAATGCTGCCTTTAATAAGGTACCCATTTGCATAGCCAGCGATGGTGATTTAAAAACACAATTTTTATTGTCATAGCATGATATGATTTTTGTGGCTTGAACAATTACCTTGAATTTTGATGGGTGCAGTAAAGATACTAAAGTAAGTGAATTATTGTTTTCTATTTTTCTTGCTTCGATTACGAGACGAGCTAAACGTCTCATTTTGCGTCTTGCAACTGAAATAAGATGCTTTTCTTTGTGACTTTTAATATATTTTCGTGCTACCTCACAAATAGTTTTATCTTTTTTAGCCACTAATGATATTTCATCAGCTTTTAATGTTTTCAAAATTCCTGATGTCCGTAATGGATCGTTTACTCCAAAATGAGTAGACATCAGTGTATGACCTTCTGATTGATGATGACGTGTTTTGATAGTTTTCTCTAATTTGTTAAAAAAACAACGCTTTGCATGTCTTCGCAATGTTTTTCTTGCATAATAGCCTACAATAGTAAATAGTATAATGTATTTAAATGTAATTTTATTATTATTGTTAGTGTTAGTGTTGTTAATGTTAATCGGCCATTTCAGGGATGTAGATATGCTTGTCCCGTCCACAACCGAAACTTTTAAAATTTTCTTTACTTTTATAGAATAATTTTTGCATTTTTTAAATTTAATTTAGAGCGTAATATATTAGGCCATAAATTAAATTACAAAAATGTAACAAATATTTTATAAAAATAGAGATAATTTTAAAAGTTTAAGTTGTGGACAAGCATATCTACATCCCCTGAAATGACCGTACTGTTCTGATATTGTTAATTTTATTATTATTATCATTATTATTATCATTATCATTATTATCATTATTATCATTGTGAGGTTGGTATATAAAACTACAAGTGTAAAGTGGTAACTGGTTTTATTTCCAGTGCGCGGCCTTATATACATTGGATTCAGTTGTGCCAACCTGACATCTCCCCTTTTAACAAAAAACATTTAACAATTTAAAACTTACATCTATCACATTAACATTCCTTAAACTAATATCACAGAACAAGGCATAATAATATATTTATGTAAAAACACCTATACAATAATTATAATTTTTGTAAATTAATATATTTTGTACTATTTTTTTTTTTAAATACATAACAATAATACCCTATAGTGTATTCACATATAATATAAATAATTTTTTTTTTTTATTTTTAAATAATTTGTATTTCTCTTTTTATGAAAATGAGTGATTTGAGTGATGAGATAACCTGCAGAGGTATAGGCTCCAGGTTAACCGTTTAAATGATATTCCCTCATAAACGCTCGTGTTTATAGTCGAACGCTGAGTAAGAATGCTTGTTGACCGGACGCCCACTTATACGACGTAGGTAAATATATATATATATATATATATATATATATATATATATATTAGGGTGGCCCAAAAAAAAAAGAATATCTTTTTTTTTCTCGTCTCTTGTAAAAATATGTTAGTTTATCATGCTGTAAGAGCCCTGTCAAAATATCAGCTCGATTAAAAAATTTTTAGGGGTCGCTCAAGATTTTTTTAAATTTTCAAAATCGTCAAAAATTGAATTTTTGTTTTATTTTAATTTTTTTTCTTGTCTCGATATTATTTTTTTGGTAGAAAATAATAAAAAATTTGAAAATATCAAATCAATATTTTAATTTCTAAAGGTCGCTAAAAGTTCGTTGGTATTTATATTCAGAGGTCGCTCGAAAACATTCAAAATACTCTACTTTGAAAGTTAAAAAAATCTTGAGCGACCTTTAGAAATCAAAATATCCATTTGAAGTTTTTAGAATCATTATTAATTTTAAATTAAAAAATAATACCGGAACGAGAAAAAAAATTAAAATAAAAAAAATATCCAATTTTTGACTATTTTGAAAATTTTTAAAAATCTTAAGCTACCACTAAAAAATTTTTAATGGAGCTGATCTGTTGACAGGGCTCTTAAAACATGACAAACCAACATATTTTCACAAGAGACAAGAGAAAAAAAATATTCTTATTTTTTTTGGGCCACCCTAATATATATATATATATATATATACCTAATGTAAATATTACTTAGTTATTTTTTTTATTATTATTATTTAATATGTTAAATATTATTATGATTATATTAATTAACTTTAATTTGGTGAAAATAGTGGTCTATTACTTACTGGGAAAACATTTTTACGGGGTAAACAGGAAGCACGCAAATTAGAGATAATATCTATATCTATATTATACGACATTAATGTTACGTTTGTGGTAGCGCCGAGTCTGCCAGACTCAAAAGGCACACCAAGTCTTAAAGAAAAATATTACTGATGTTTTAACTGCTACAAACGGTAATGTACTGAATGTTAGGGAGGTACTAAGAATCGGTTTTATATCTCTGCACCCCTGCCCTTTTTCCACGCGATCTTAAAACGCTCTCACAGACTCGGCGCCACCACTCCAGGGTTAATTTTAAAATGTTTTACAATTTTTAATTATTGAAAAAAATACAAAACATTTTAAAAACGTTTTAATAATAAAATACACGCTTTTTAAGCCTTTGGGAACTCACATGAATAATATCCTACATCGTTATTTGGATTAATATATCCTATTTCGATAGATTCTAACATGTGATTATCCCAGTCCTTTCTATAATCTGGATCTAATAAAACATCAAATAAAACGTTAGCATCTACATTTTGGAAGACTGTTTGAATTTTAACCATATTAAAGCTGCAATTTTGGGTTGGTTTACTCCAAACCTACAAAATATTGGTTAATAAGATTACAACTTAATTAAAGGTGAAAAACATTGAATTTATGTATTATTTTATGCTGAAAATGTGTTTTACGATTTCTAAATAATGGATGCATTAACACAGTACACCATTTATTGAAATTTTGGATTTTATTAATAAGTAGCATACATAATTTTTAAAATAAGATCTGATTTCATCATAAACCGGACATTCATTAGTACACACGGAGAAAAGTCAATTTTTAAATTTACTACTAAGTACAAAGTACTGCTCTGGTTTAACAAATAAAGTACTAAGTGCTTGAGTTTTAAGTAACTTCTTCCAAAGTTATTGTTGCTTTAACCTTTGAAGAAGTTACTTAAGCACTGATTACTTTATTTGTAAAACCAGAACATATTCTTTAATATTATTCGGAGGGTATAATAACCATTACAAACATTTGGCCAAGTATAAATATTCCATTGAGTATTAATATCAATTGATTCTTAAAAATACCCAATAAATCTTAAATATTAAGGATTGCTT